CTTCCACAGATGGTCAGGAAGCACAAGCCAAAGCAAACGGTGCAACCGCTGCTGCAGAACTCCAGCACGAGCAGTCAGCAGTCGCAGAACAGCGCACAGACCAAACCAACCAGCCCACTTCCGCAACAGTTAGTCAGGAAGCGCAGGCCGAACCAGATGTAGCTATCCCCGCGCAAACCCAACCAGAGCAGCCAGCAGAATTCCAGTCAGAGTTAGACTCAGATGTGGATTCAGAACAGCCGATGAGTTTCTTAGTCACATTTGGTCAACGGTTTGATGCAAGTTAAATAAATTATATCATATCATCCAGTCGTGCGACAAATAGTTGGGGTTGGGTACGGTACGGAAAGGTGTTCTGAAAGGATTGATCTTTGCCAGTTGCCAGAGTTTTACTCTCTCTCTCTCTCTCTCGCAAAGGTGCCGCTGCCTTGGCCGAGCTTTTCTACGGCCATGACGGTCATTCTAGCACAGGCAAAGGCAGTGAATCGGATGGTGGTGATGCAGAACCAGCGGTTTTGAGTCCATTTCCCGGACGCGATGAGGCGGCTTTCTTTCAACACATGTACCTCCCAGGGCAGTCACGTGTGGACATAGCGGCTTTTCCTCGGAATATTTGCCAACATTTTGCACAAGTCCTCAAATGGCACCATGATGCGAGAAAGCAGGGCATGAATGTGCCTAACATGTGTTGCTCAGGGGATATGGGCAACCTCCCGTCCAAGCTCGTTATGTCATCCATCTGCACCGGTTCGGGGGCGGGAGAAGTGTGCGCAGAGGCAGCAACGCAGGCATTCAGCATGGTGTTTGGTCAAGGAATGGACGTGACGGTTCCATTCATGGCAGAAAACGTAAAGTTCAAGCGGGACCACTTGCTACAAAATTTCGTGAACCAGGCAAGTAAGACTTGCGTGTTTGACGATGCAGTCAAGCTTACACAAGGTGCAGGCACCTGTCACCGACATCAATCATCAAGCACCGAAGAGGCCAGAACGTGCGGTATGCTCAGCAACTATTCTGAGATTGCCGCCAGTGCTGGTTCTGCCGGAGAAATTCTTTACGGTTTCTCCGCAGGGTTCTCCTGCAAAGGGTTCTCCCTTGCCAACAACAATTTCTCCAAGATCAAGATGCTCAGCATGAGCCCAATCTAAAGGTTGTTTTCCCCACCACAGGGCTGCAGGATATTTTTGAATTGCTGTTTCCTGTTTTTTGAATAGACTCGGAATAGATGGGCCTGACCCTTGCCAAGGAACGCATTGCGGGATGGAAGCTGCCAAGGCAACAGTTCAGTGCGGACATTCCATGCCTGCGTAGAGGCAATTGAATCCTTGTCGGAGAAGGGTGTTTTGCACTTTTGGATCCTTGAGAATGTATTGACAATGGGTGACGACCAAGACGATGACTCTAACCTGTCTGTTGCTGCGCGCATGCTGGCGGAGATTGGGGACCAGAAATTCCTTGTTCAGCCATTCCGTGTGGATTCATCACGATATGGACTTCCGCAAGGACGCAAACGCGTGTACATTGTTGGTCTGGAGCGGTTAGGCCAGAGATTTCCAGACCCCGAGTTGGCTATGGATGCAATTTGCAACTGCTTGAAACTCGTTCACCGTGAGTTTACTACACGAAGCAACTTTTGTATTTTGTATTTTTTGTAATTTTGTACCACAAGGCTTTCTGTGTCCTTGCTGCGGCTCGCTGAGGAAATATGAGTTTGTGGTTCCCAAGCTGCCTATGAGCGCAGTTCTCGAAGCCTGTGACAGCCACATTGCGACGGAAGAGCTAGCCCGCCGTGTGGAATACACGGCAGGCAGGGTGCAAAATGGCAGCAGCCCCAACAAAGACTCTGCAAAGTGGATCGGCCAGCACAAGAAGTTGGCCAATGCCAAAAAGCTCCCTTGGCCAATCCCGTCAGAAGACACCAAGTTCAGTTCCAACCCTTGGTTTTCGAACCTGAGCGCTCGCGAGCAAGAGATACTTCTGATTTACGAGGATGAATATGAGCCCCTCAGTGGAATTTGAGGTAGCGGCCAGTAGCGGCTACAATTAAATGTACACTACTATGTTCTATTTCCCAGATTTTGGAACCGTGGGAACTGTGAATCCTGGAAACAGAAACTGTTGAGGTTTTGGGCCTGGGTTGTTTCAAGGCTCCAAGAAACATGTTTCGCCGCTCAGGTTCCTTGACACGAGTCAATCCATTGGGCGATTGAAGGGCTCCAAGGATGCCGAGACCATCTTTACCATTCTCCCAGGTGCCCGGGTATGGAGCAAGGCATTGCAAAGGAGCTTGGTGGGTTCTGATTCGCTGAGGCTCCAGGGCCTTTCACCTCATTTGTTTCCAGGTGTGTCAGAGCGGCAAAGAGCCGATTTGGCTGGAAACAGCTTTTCTACGTGTGTGTTCGCCGCTGTACTTTCTGCAGTTCTTGGACAGTGCAGTTTGTCGGAGGCTGAATCGGAGTCATGCCCATGCTCCCCAACAGTGGTGGAGGATGCTTCCGAAGAGGAAAGCGGCGGCATGTTGAAGCATTTTCTGAATTTGTGCAAGTGACCTCAAAATACCCAAGTTAGCGATTCGCGCTGGTGGAAAAACCTAGCGACCGCTAGGCAATTCACCTGCTGTTGCGATTGGTTTGGAGCTGTCTGTCAGTCGGGTGAGCGTTGGCGATTTGCGGATATTGGCATTGCATTGAACGAGGGTGCGTTGTTTTGCGTATGGGGTTCAATTCTGGGTATTCCGCCCGGATGTGTTGTTCGTTGAGCAACCGAACTTGCGTTTCGAGTTTGCGGATTTTGAGTTGTGCGTTGGTTATTTATGCGTTTCCAATCGAGTCATCGTTTTTTTTGCGTTTGCAGGTTTTGCGTTTTGCGTTGGTGATTTATGCGTTTCCAATCGAGTCATCGTTTTTTGCGTTTCCAGGTTTTGCGTTTTGCGTTGGTGATTTATGCGT